TTTATTGAACGATCATTTCTTAACAATGATAGGTACTCTGCGTAAAAATAAAGAACTTTCAACACTATACAGAGATAGTTTCATTGATGAAAACACCAAAGAGCATACCATGAAGCCAGAGATTATTACTGATTACAGCCTCACACAAGGCGGAGTGGATGTTGTTGATAACATGAAGGCAGGATACTCAGTGACTCGATATAGCAATCGCTGGCCGTTTACGGTTTTTTGCAGACTACTAAATATTTCAACTATAAACAGTCAAATAATTTACAACAATAACACTAATATTGTAACATCTCAAGATGCTACGTTGCGGAACTTGGCAAGCAACTTTTAATGTCTTATCTTTAACGACGACTTTCCAATATCCCAAATCTACCATTTTAGGGACAACTTCAACTATAAGACCAAGATGTTCTTTTTCCCCTTTAAGGAAGGACAGGTTTACCCAACATTATTGTAATAACTGTAAGTTTCCGATATGTTAAGCTATGGTTTGTTAGAACAGTGAGCGACGCATAACTCACAGTCAGTCGAACGGAGCGCACGTCCGAAAAAATCAAAGGAATAGTTGTTCTCTATGATAACGGTTTGTTAGGTTCTGCTGAGCTGAGCGCACTGCATGGCAAAAGCCGCGTACGTCGGCGGTGTGTGCTGGAATTAACTGCGATTTAGCTGAACTGACAGCGTACACATCTCTACCGAAATATAATTGTATTTTCATATAGTTATTATTATTGCAATAGCTATAATATTGTGTATAATTAATAGAAATAATTAGGTGATGTCTTCTTTTGTAAAGTTTTTTTACTAATTGCATCCCTTCTAATTTGTAAGAGTTTCAACTAAATCCCTGGAGTGTCTAAAATATTCTTAAAATTTTTCCTTGTTTTAAAACAATCTTCTTTCGACAAGCACCTTCTGTATTACGACATGAAATAGTTTCGTTTACATTTTTATTTCTTTTATTTAGATTTGACGTTATCAACCCTTGTTTTTCCTTCTCTTCTTGGAGAATTAACATATTGCGTTAACTTTGCGAGAAGTCATTTTTCTAAACGTACAACCTTTAGAGAACAAACTTGGAACTAATTTTTAAACTTCAGCCCAACAGAATCTATGTGTGTCATACGACTCTAACAAACCGACTCACCCAAAACTGCCGTGAGTCAAGTACAACAGATTCTCCTGTACGTGTATGCCATGCGCTACCCACTGTTCTAACAAAACGTAGCTTTAAGAGCACACTGGTTTAACAAATTCTACTTGCCGTTACTACCTAAAAGAGGAAAAATCTAATTTTATGTGTAATGCGTAAATTTTTTAAAATAAATCCCCTTATTTGTTTTGTTCTAGGGTAATGTGTAGATGTTTTCAGTTTACCTAGTAATTTTTTTTGCAGTTTTGTTTTTAAAAAATAAAAGTTTATCGTTTTTTCTGAGCTAATAGCCAATAAACTTAACCAACAAGTCCTAATGACTTATTTAACATATAGCCATATATTAGACAAAATAAAACATGCGAGTGATGGCGTAATTTAATATTTACGTAATATAATATAATATTTAGCATCAACGTTAATGGCAACAGGTTAAACCACCTCAGATTCGCTGACTACATCGTGATTATGGCGATTCGCGATATACATATTATGAAAAGGGATTATCAGAAAAATTAAAAAGGATGGGAAATATTTACTATATTACAACATTCAAAACAACCAACACATTGAGATATTTCCTTCCTGTCCAAAACAAAATCAAAAAACACACAAGAAAGATCAAAGAACTGCATATATTAAATACCCTATAAATGCAACCATTTTTAGGTGAAAGAAACCTTAAGAGCACTAAACACCTCAAGAAAAGATAATTCGACAAAGCTCAGATATGCATCAACGTGCACGAAATGACTGGGACAACTGGAACTACAATGAAAACATGAATTAATAATCATAAAAGAAAATTTGCAATATCATCGTTATATATCATCTACAATTTGTACACGATATTATGCAACACACAATATACAGCTTACGTAAGCACACATTAAATAAACAAACAATAAAAAAACACAAAAATAGCCAGAATTTGATATTTCAAGGATAAAAACAGCATACTCAGAATGTTTTAAACCAAAATTACCTGCAAAATCAAGGCCAAGAAAAGTCAATTATTGGTTTTGAAAAACATAACTTAGGTACTAAAAACTTGTTGGGTATATATATTGACAGAATTGTTTAAAATATTTTATTCTTAAAAACGATTTCTGGAGAAGAAAACGGCAAACATTAGTTAAAAATATAATTTTTATTTTAATCGTCTGTCTAAGTAAACATATTGTTTAAATGATAAAAATAGATTAATGTGAAGAAAATATATAAAAATATTAGAGATTTATTTACAAGTTATATCAGCGACTTCAAAAATCTTAAACAAACCAAAATGTCTTTATACTTTTTTGGATAGGAAATCTGCAAGTTTCATATTGATTTTTCTCATCGCTTAACGCAAAACCACCTAGAGGGCAGCAGAAGAAACATTTTTGAAAATATAAATTTAAGTTAATTTAAGATACTTAGGACGTACAGTTTCAAATCACAATTCAAAATTCTAGAGACATATGTCACCTACTGGTTTCAATTTAACAATAAAAGTGATTTCTAAATTTTAACATTTTTACCTGGAGCTATAAACTGAAAGATTTTGTAACTCTTATTCAAGAACAAAACCCAGTATTAATAAAACCTCATTTTATTAAAAAAAAACACAAAAGCTTAAATAAACACAAATTTCACGATTTTAGAAACGATAAAGTCCGTATACAGTGGGCCCACAGCACACTAACAGACGCTAACGTTTAAACTAACTCTTAGCGTGACGTAGTTGCGCCAAATAGGACCCGCCCACGCTCAACGTGTTATCTTTAGTTACCTGTATCGTGAGAATGTACGGATTTGACCGTAACCTGTTATAGGGATGCATTTTTACTAGGCTTGACTACTGGTCTTGTAACGTTTATTTTGCCTACCACATAGGGTTTTACTGTAGAGGTTGAAAATTGGGGATATAAACTACGGGGTTAGAGATAGAGTAAGCAAAGCAAACCGAAACGTCAGCGAATGGCTACTCAGGGTTAATTTGGAGAACTGGGTAACAGATAAGTAAATGAAACAATGAATGAAAGAAGGTTCTCAAGCTATTTAAAATAATGACGCCGCTTTGAAGAATCTTTCTGCTGGATGAAAGAAAAGGGTATTCTTTTTGTTACTGAGCAATAATTTGTAGCAAAAATAAGTTATTACAAATAAAATCATATCTTTTTTAAGTGAAATTATGCATAGAGGTTAACCTTTTTCTAAAAACCAAAGCAAAACAAGATTAAAAAGACAAGAAAAATAAAACTAGCTGTTAGATGTTAATAATAAATTTTAAAACTGAGAACAATTAATACGACAGTTAGACCAGACCCTAGCATCTACAATTTTAATTATTACAATTTCTTAAACTGTTAATGAGAGCAATAATTATTTGAAAATGTTTATTTTTACTTTGAAAGTCAGTACAAAAAGTTACCTGAATTTCACTAAAATTTCTGTGAGTGGAACTGGAGTTAGATTATCTGCCACACGAACAAATTCTGCCTAACAAGATATTTTATATATTTTACTCTTGAACAAAAATCACATTGTTTCACAAACCTCATATACGACTAATAAAATATGCAATAAATAAAAATAGATATTATATTTGATTTGATTCTAAAATTAAAACTAAATACAGGGTATGCTTAAAAAAATATATAGCATTTTTATCATTTATACAAGTTGGAACATCTTGTAGATATAGGAATTATTACTTTAAATTTGTAGCCACTACGGATCTACGAATATTTGCCAAAAGAATGTTTAGTACCACTGACCGTTTCCCTAGTAGATAGCGTCTCGTTTTCAAATCCTGTATAAGTTAGTGAAAAAATTTCAAGAAAAATGGTTTTATTAAATTTTGTGTGATTTATAAAAGTCTTGACGTTGTAACCATTTCAAAAATTTCAGAAAATTCATTATAATTTCGATTAAATTTTTTTTTAGTTAAACTTGCTCACGCCATCTATCTGCCAAGTACTTTTAATTACCTCAAGGACTCTATTATAATTCCTAATATATCTGTTAGATGAGACCGTTCGTTAACTTGTCACCCGTCTCGATTCCCAGTCAAAAATCTCTAGCATCCACCTTTATCTCGTAGAACGTCAAGGATTCTGTTTAAGTGGTCTCTTATATGAGTAAGCCGAAAAAATCTTTTTCTTTTCTATATTTTCAGATAAATATTTATTTTTAGACCCTTATCGGTGAGGCTAGAGTCTTGTTAGAATATGTTTATTTGTTCCGAGGTAATAAAAGTATGGATTTGTGACATGGTATTCTAAACTCAGCCCAGTATTTCTTTATGGTATGGTATGATGATATTAAATAGACTCATACTCAATGGTTTCATCCAATCAACTACTTAGAGGGTAAAGAAATAAATTATATCCTTTTCTTTGTAACCACCAGAAGTTGGATAAATCAGTTGTTTAAGAACCAAATAAACATTTATGTGCTTTATTACTATTTTAAATATAATAGTTATTCTATAATATAATAAATAACTGTATTTTTTAATGTGAACGTATTTTAAACTTTGGGATAAAGCATAAATTCATTTTCTTAAATACTAATTATGTTATGCATGAATGCTACAAAGTTGTAAATTTTAAATTTCTAAAGACAGTACTAAATTCTTCTTGTAAATACTACTATAGATATGCCACTTTTTAACCAACTTTACAATTTTTAGAGTAAATGTGAGTACTTCTCTGTAGGTGCAATTATTTTAAAGGTAATAATTTGTTTAGTTAACGTTTTTGGCAAAAAAAAAATTTGCAATATTCTACATATTTTTATATATTTTAAAATTTATTCCACAAAAGATAACACTATTATTTACAATTTAGTGTTAATGTCCATATGCATCAAACGGAGGTTCCATATAAGCATCTAAGATCTTACTAACTTCCTTGTATTGTCTCAAGTGCTGTCTAACTTCAAAGGTGTTGTTTATATTTAGATATTCCAAATTACGTGGCGTCGATGTAGGCCATGTTATATTGAAGAGAAGAGGATCTTTTTCTGGAGTTGGGTTTCTAAAATAAAATAAAAAATTATCATCCACTAGGAAACTAAATTTTATTTAAAATCCGTTATAAAAGGAATATAATAAAATACCCAAACAAGCTATCACAATTACATTGGGTCCCGTTTGGGTATTTTATTATATACCTTTTATAAAGGATTTGAAATAAAAAAAAACTTATTGGTTTACCGAGTATCACAAAATATCCCTTTAATCATTGTATATATACATATATATATATATATATATATATATATATATATATATATATATATATATATTATATATATATATATATATATATATATATATATATATATATCGGCGAAGATTTATCTGAGCCAACAGCAGGATCATTCGCACTATATGTTCGCAGTGACAGAGTAACGGGCTAGAGAATTTTTTCAAGAAAATAACATAGTATCGATAATACCTAAACATATAAACAGCAGTTAACAGCAAGTAAAGATATCAATATAGATAGACAAGTTATTTTCATATTCTAAATTCCGTAAACGCTGGATTCTGACTTCAATTAGAGAAGATTCCAATAAATCAAAACAATACAAATTTGAATATAAATAAGTTGTAGTCGGAAACTACTTAAATAAGATATTATTGAAGATCTAAAAAGATATTTGAAAAAAAGAGACAGAAGATAGACTGCCTGCCCTATGTTGATATAGATTTACAAACACAAAAGGCAGAAAAGTGATGCTTACTATTACTGACAACATCCTAAACTCGATAGCAATAGGCGAACCCATATACTGGCCTTAACATCCTAAAAGAATTCCAGATGCCATTGACTTCTTCATCACTAAGAGTATTAATACCATACATATAAAAATGGAATCTAGCTTTTATCTTTCATCCAATTATTATCCAATTCTGTTAACCTATACTTCGCTCAGATAGTGCAAAATCCAAATTATTCAACAAAAATACAAATTTGGTCTCTTTTAGTGAATAACTAGATAAATCAACCAAAAAGAACAGAACATTTTCGAAAAAACAGTAATGGCACTGACACAAGTATTTAACCTGGGATCAGCCGCACTGTTGGAACAAATCTAATATTTTTAGTATTTTTTTTTTTTTCATAAAAGTTGATATGTTGGTAATAAATTCGTCCCTCACCATAAGTGCCTGGAGGTGATACCACGTAAACGCAGGACAGTCAGGTATGTAATTTGGCAAAACGAGTGATACGTGGTGGCTAGAGGCTAGTCATAATACAATAAATACAAGGTACGACACATTATGCTCCAAAATCGGGTCGCTTCGCGCATGACGTACTCAAGAACCCTTCTTCACCCAACTTTGAATGTAGTTGTATAAGAAAGACTTTTAATTTTAAGATTTTTTTTATATAATTTGGCTAATTTAATTATAGTAATTTTAAAGAGATGATAAAATTGTGTGAACATAATATTTAATTATAAAAAATATTTTGTAGTTTATTGAACTTTATTGATTTTTGGTACAGTTATTTTGTTAACATAGATATAACCTTTATAAAACATGTGTTAATTAGTTTTTTTTAATACACATACAAGTTATCAACTTATACTCCAGAGTTCGATATTTCAGTTGTTTAAAAATATACAAAAAAGAAAGTGGTATCTACATAAAAATGGGTCGAGTACAGCTACAAATTTTAATATTATTTTTAAATATACAAGGTATTCCCACTTCTTAATTTGTTAATGACCACTTGGTAATTTAGATACACAAAATTTGTACGTATGTACTGAACTAAGCACAAAATCAAAATAAATAAGGATAAAGCCAACTTTGTTTGGATCGGATGAGCTAGCTGGCCATTAAATATATTGCACAATATTTTAAACACTTCCTTTTTCCCAGTTCGTTACGTTATGTCTTCTATTTTCTTTAACTTCGTTGCTTAATCTTGACCTTGATCTTCATCTTCGTCTTTTGCCTGCCAATACACTAGGTAGTACCTTTCTTAAATTCTAAATGACATCATTATCTGAACACGACCCAACCATCTAAGCCTATGAACCCTAACTACAGCTAATATATTTTTGTCCTTATCCATTGTCCTTTTAATTTTTTTTCTTACCAGATTTTTCCTAACTTAGTTGTGGAACACATTTTTAATTTTACGAACCAAAAATTGGAACTTAAGTATCTGAAAAAACCTTATTTACGACCTACAGACTGTCTACCAGTTGATTTTGATAAAATCAACGCATTCTATTCTTGAGACTTTTATATATGGCAAGAGTGAAAAAAGGACAGAAATGGAACAGTTTAGAATTGTGGATTACTAATGGTAACGGAACTAGAATACTTTGTAGCTGTAATGTCAGAGGAAATGTTTTATGTTATTCTTTGGATTTCACGATGTGACGACATAACTAGCAGAAAAAAAAAGAGCCAAAAATTATAATTGAGCTCCAGTTCGCAAAATATTCGATAAATTTATAAAGACATGCTCTTCAAATTATAGCGTTGACATCTTTAACCAAAAGACATATACTTGCATTGACGGTAATAATTCAGAGGAGAATCTTTTGTTAATGAATATTTTGTGTTATTTAAAATTTGAACACGTTTTTTGCATTAATGTACCTAAAACCAGCAACATTATTTATCAAATAATAGTGATCACGGAGTAATTGATTAATGTTAAATAAAATCTAATGCGTGACCAATCGCGTTCTAAGGAAGGTTGCATAGATAGGTCATCACGAATAGAAAGTTGCGGAAATTTTTATGATAAAAAACTTAAAAAATGTGCCAGTCAGTTGACATCCTACAGGCTTATAAGCCTTCTACCAATGATCTCTAAAGTATTTAAATTACTTTCTGAAACTGAAACCAACATCAATTTTCTTTCCTCAGCAGACATAAAACCGTAGAACAAGTTTATCGCTTAGTAAAACAGAAAAATAATAATCTGGAGAACAAGAGGTACTGCAGATATCCTGGACATCAGTCAAACTTTCAACAAGGTGTGACACACCAGACTTCTATATTACATAAAAAAATGTTCCCCATTACTATTATCTAATTTTAAAATCGTACATATTCAGCCTTTATGCTGTAAAGTGTGTGTTAAAGAGCACAAAGCCGTGTCTGAGCTATTTTAAGTTAAGTCTGGTGTGCCTTAAGGCAGCGTTATTGGTTCTGTTTTATATTTGTTATTTACTGCTGACTTACCAACTACCAGATTAAACACAGTTGCCAAATACGCTGATAAAACGGCTGTTCTTGCGTCATACATATGTCTGCAAAGAGCATCCCAACGAGCAAATGGATCTAAACAAAATTCAAAAATGATTTACAGCATGAAGAAGCATTTCAACGAACTCGCAAGTGAGTTGCTCGATGTTCGTGGTAAAGTGCACAGACTAAAGCGGTGTAACCAAACAGACTTAATAACGAGATTTTAAGATGAGACTAAAATAGATATTAAGTAATTTTAAACAATAATTGAATGTATGTTTTGTTAATATTGAACGTTAAGTTAAAGGAAAACTTCATTAGTTCTGCCTACATGACTATGTAATGAATATAATTTGTACTTGCCCTTATAGCAAAATGAAGCATTCGATCATATATTTTTCACTCTATTTTTCCCATTTATACCGTCACAAATTCAAATAGTCCATATTATGTAGCAAAATATTTCGTACTAATTTTCATTTCATTAGAGCCCTATAACTTTATGACCTACATTATTTTAAGTATCTTTAGATGTTACGCAATGTTAACTGCGTAATTTCCTGGCTAAATGTTTTCTTCTTTGTATAGTATTCGGAACATTACCCCACGCAATAACAATGATCCTTTTGAAAACTTATCTCATTCTCGCTACTAACAAATGTGGATCAATAATTAGGGAAATTATATTCAAAGAATTAAAGAGCTTGTTTGATGGAAATGCTGTAACACAAAAAACTGCATAGATTTAAAAAAAAAAATTATTTAAAAAATTTCGTTTGTAAAAGTTATATTAACATAATATATCTAAGGAAATTTTTTATATGAAAATTTGTTGTAATACATGGTATACAAACAACTACAGGAATTTAATTTTCTTGTGGATTTTGCATAGATTTACTTTCAGAAAGTTCAAAGCAAGAAAATTCTTGTGACGTATTTATTTTTGCATCATTTTTTATTTAATGTTATATTTAGAAGCGTTTGTCTTTTTAGGGTAGTGAGAGAGGTTGCACAAGATACCAAAGTTTTTTTTTTTCGCCAAAGTACTGAACCATGAGTGAGTGTCGATGTCCGGCGCGGATATTAAATAGCATAAACGCTTTTATAATTAATCCTGATAAATTGTGAAATTTATATACTAATAACAATCGTAGAATTCTTACATTGCACCATCATACAGTGTTATAGTGTTACTTCATTGTGCATCGAAGAAATAAGATCTAGAGTACATGTGAGTAAGTAAGAAATATGTGAGTACATATTGTATGATTTATAAAGTAATCCGTGATCAAATTATCTTAGAAACACAGTACATTATTTAACTAGCCATTTAACAACACTAATCTCTGAATTCAATAGGATTGTCAGGGCATACATTTTGTAGTTCGTTAACACTCGGTGGTAAGCGGCTATATATTTATTTCTTTATTAGCACACAAATCCACTTCTCAATTATTATTTTTACCGGTTACATATGTTTGAAGTCCGAACTAGAGAAGGTAGACCGTTGGCCCTGTTTTTATGTTTAAATGACGAAATTTATTATTTAGTACCGCTTGCAGCTTATCCGTGCCATTGAGGTATACCCTGAGTGTCAATAAAAAGACAGACGGACACCGTTGTTTCTTTTCGAAAGTAATATTCTTAATGCAATACGGCAACATTGTAAAAACTCAGCCACAAATAACCATTAAAATCAGGTGTTTCGTACTATTTCATGAGCGTACAGTTGGATAACAACATATCATCAATACCAACGTGCAGTACATCTGTAACTGTCGGTCGTATCACTGATGTGTATAACAAGCAGATTACCTTTGGTTTCAACCCTCAGGTTTTACCTACAACTCGTCTGCATTTAGTGAAAGTCACTAATTTTGTTTTTAGAAAGGATGACAGAAAGGTTCTCTTTAAGACATCAATTCTCTATGTAATAAAAGGCATATTGCGTCGGATCAGCAACATTGCTGAGAAATTTTCCCCTAATCACTATGACAATATCTTGGCTCACAAAGCTTGGCTGCTAACCCCATAAATCAGGTAATCAATGAATATATTCCATAATGATGGTGATCATACACCACCTACACTCAGATTTATAGCACCTTCATACGTATATGTGTACATTATTCTGAATGTATCTATTAATTATTAATGAGTCATTAGATTAGATTTATATGCTACTTAGTATAATAAAGAACAACATGTTTTAATAAATGTATCAAATTTGTTTAGTGGGAAGTTGCTGTGACGAAGTCATTATAATAAATAAATATAACATCTACTTCTCTTCTTCGCGTGCCATATCAGAACTATCCGACGTTGGCGATCACCATTGCAAAGGCTTCTCGATCTTCTGCAATATAGAATAATTGTCCTGCGTTTGGTATCTGAGTCCATTCACTAATGTTTTTTAACCAAGAAACTTGTTTTCTTCCTACACCTCTACGGCCCTCTATTTTGTCTTTAAGGATCAGTTGTAAAATTTTATATCGACTTCCCCTTACTATATGTCCCAGATAAGACATTTTTCGATGTTTAACAATCTTTAGCAGTTCTCTGCCTTTGGTAACGCTCCTTAGTACTTCTTCATTAGTTTTTCTTGCTGTCCAAGGTATCTTCAGCATTCGTCTATGAACCCACATTTCCAATGCTTCAATTTTGTTCATGATCGATACTTTTAGCGTCCACACTTCTGCACTATACAAAAGTACAGACCCAACATAACACTTAACCATTCTTTGCTTTAGTTCTAAACTGAGATGGTTATTGCAAAGAAATGACTTCATTTTCATAAAAGTAGTTTTAGTCATTGCTATTCTACGTTTTATTTCTATGTTTGGATCTAGTTGGTCCGTTATCACAGTTCCCAAATATGTCATTTCGTGAACTTTCTCAACTTGGACTCCGTTCAATTAAAACTTTGCATCGGGATGTGGGTCACGACTAAACATTAAAAATTTGGTTTTGTTGTTTATTTTAATGCCCATTTCCTCTCCTACCTCGTGAATACGATAAAGCAGAATTTAAAGACCGTCAATATTATCTGATAGAATTACTGTATCGTCTGCATATCTAATTACATTAAGTAGTTCCCCGTTGATTTTTATACCATATGGTTGTCTCTCAAGTGCCTTTTTAAATAGCTGGTCCGAGTAAACATTGAACAATGTTGCAATTAGATTCCAGATAGCAATTTGATTCTAGTACAAATTTTTAATGACACGAATATCCTTGTCATTTATTCCGATATTTTTTAGTATTTGCATTAATTTTACATGCTGTACTTTATCGAATGCCTTTTCGAAGTCCACGAAACATGCAAATACATCTTTTCTTTGGTCACGGCATTTTTGTAATAGGATGTTTAGCGCAAAAAAAGCCTCCCTGGTTTCCATAGCATTTCTTAAACTTCTTGATATCTTCAAGATCTTCTTCGCATTTGCGTCTAATTCTGTTGTGAAGTATTCTGAGGAAAATTTTAAGAGTGTGGCTTATTAGGCTAATTAATCGATATTCTGAGCATTTTCTCGCATTGTGTTTTTTAGGTATTGCGATAAAGATGGATTTGAGAAAATGTGCGGGAATCACTCCGGTGTTATATATTGAATTAAAAAGTCTTACTACTACTTTTATGTTATCATTCTCTATTAGTTTTAGCAACTCAGTTGGTGTATCATCTGGACCACAAGCTTTTCTAATTTTAGCATTATTTATAGCATGTTCTACTTCGCATTTCATAATTTCTGGGCCGTCAGTACAGTTTTGGTAGAATTCGACAATATTATTCCTGTCATCTTCAAACAACTCTGATATATACAGCTGCCATTCTTTTCTTATTTCTTGCTTATTTACAATAATTTTGTTATTAGTGTCAACAAGTACAGAGGGAACTCGTTTTTTAAATATATTAAAACATCTACTTACAAATATTTAACAAAGTTTGTCCACATTTTCACCATTCTATGCAATGTTATTTGGTCTTCTTTAGGAAATACACTCAAATCATTATTATTTAAGAATTCCCAATAATAATGAAGTTCCTCCATGTGACCTACACGTTCAGCACCTGAAAACAAAATTCAAAGCAATACAATACTTTACAAACGAAAAGATTAAAATAAGACAATAAGAAGAAGAAATACTGGTTAAAAAACGACACAATGGTTACAGGGTATACCAGAAAAACAACAAAAATATAGTAAAAATTTCAGAAACACTTTTAAACTACGACGAAAAATCAAATATTCTTATTACAGAATCAAGACTATAAATATGTAGGCGAAAAGAATAAAGTACAAGTAAGAAGAGTAGATTAGAAAAAAATCGGACCTGTTTATAAGATATAACCTAAACTAAAGATACATATTCATTTAAAAATAACTTTTTTATTTTTTCTTAGTCTTCTTTTGTTCATTTTTGGAAATAAGCCTCTCCCAACTCCTTTTACCTTTCATCCCTATGCTGAGCAACATAAATCCAATTTGTTCTGGCTATTCTTTTTATGTCGTCTATTTATCTCATCTGTGGTCTTCCTCTTGGTCGTCAACCTTTGTAAAGTCTTCAGTGTTGAACTGTGGCATATCCTTAACTTTTATTTTTAATCTTATCCAGTCGTTTCTCTTTTATCTGATATGTATCTGTAGAGTGGGGAGGGCGAGTTAAGTTTCACAACACTTAGGCTACAATTGACCCATTGTGCATCCTCTTAGGGAGCTGTCACCCTTAGCTAATTGTCCATCCTGCCATTTCTAGGAAGGTGGACAAGTCACCAGGAGACATATCTCTTATGTGGGCAGGTGTGACCAGTTAAAAAACCAACTGCCAAACGTAGATTTTTTCTGGTCATTTCCAAGTACTTCTTTGCTTTTGACTCTTTAATGTTACTTAGTGTTAACCTGGCAAGTTTACATTCTTTCCCTTCTTCCCATCTTTTTACGATTTGCGTATGGGAGTGACAATTGACAATTTCCGCGATTGTTGTAGTTGACCAACCAAAAAGATCCCCAGGTCCTAAGAGTCTTAGGCCTGCCGCCTTCCTAGATAGTTTGTTAGCAATGCGGTTGCCTTTGTTCCTATTGTGTCCTTTAACCCACCTCAGGATGATGGTATTACCATCCGAAGCTTGAGTTAGTGACTCATGACACTCCATTACTAAACCTGATGTGACACGTGGTCTATTCAAGGTTAGTAGCACTTGTCTGCTATCTGTGCAGATCATTATAGTTTTCCCTGCTATACCTTTTTGGGTTATCTATTTTGCGGCTATGGAGATACCAGTCAGTTCTGTCTGAACTACGCTGGCATTTTTGCCCATACCCCACTTTATTCTTAGGTTCAGTGATCTGGAGTATATCCGCATCCTGAGCCTTCTTTCATTTTGGAGCCATCGGTGTATATGCAATAGGCATTTGCCACGTTTGTCTCCATACGCTGTCTTGTTTCAATTTTGTAGAGTTTGTTAAAGACAAACTTTGGTTTAATTGAGTCGCAGCCTGCCTGTAGTACTGGTAACGCATCAGCTCTCCCCGCCAGAAACGAGTTCTCAATTGTCCCATTCCTACATCAAGGTTTGCACTAGCTGAGCGCAGTCGCATAATTGTCACTAGAGCCAACTCTTTGACATATATATCTAGAGGCGTGATGCGAATGATCAACTCCATTGCAGCAGTTGGTGTTGTTTTATGGCACCTGTTATATTTATGCAAGCCACCCGCTGAATATGGTTTAGTTTCTTAATCGCTGTTGCCTGTAGCACTTTGGTACCCAAGTTCTGTAAGTTAGCATTGGCCTAATGACAGCAGTGTAGATCCAGGCGATCACCCTAGGCGTGAGGCCCCAGGTGCGTCCGACCGTTCGTCGACGCTGTTCATAGGCAATATATGCTCTTTTAGCTCTACCATCTAAGTGTGAGTTTGTAACGGGTAGCTCTTTCAGGACGACAGACTCAGTAAAACACAGGTTAAAATAAAAATATATCTATTGGTCTAATGTATGTACAATATAAATAAAAATAAAATAAATTCTATGCCGTATAAAAATAAACATAAAAATTAACTCTGCGCTCCGTCTGGGTTCCGCGATGAAGGAATCACCGGCGAACGTCTACAAAAGAAAGAAAAGAATAATTATTAATAACAAAACTAATAAAATAGAAGAAGTCAATCGCACTCAGACTTATACTCGCTTCCGCTTCAATTCAGCGGGAGCTCCGAACACACTCGTCAACAATCGCTTATGCAGGTCCGCGATAAAGTTCAAAACACGATATCGATAGACTCTGCTTGATTATGGATGGAGCGTGAACCTCAAAGCGGAACTACCTCCGTCCGGGTGGGCTCGCCAGTTCAGAACACTGGCGAAGAGAGGAGCCTAAGGCGCTAAGCCAAAGACTGATGAATTCCATTACTTACTTGTCTTAAATAGCCGCTCCGAACCCCACTGACCATCTTGCTGTAGTGGTGGCTGCGCCAACCTTGACACTCCCACGGTTCTAACTGTTGAACGGCGAGGACATCGTCACACCCCCTTCTCTTTGGAAAAAAAAAAGTAACATACCTCTTTTTTTTTTTTGTATATGGCGTCTACAGTATTGTCATGCCATATATTTCCATCCATTCTATCCATCCATTTCTGCAGGAACATTGCTCCCTTCCCATGGTTTTAAATCTTTTACATGTGCCGTTGTCTGCTTGCGGCTACTACTATCGGCCAATTTCAGTTTTACTATTACTGGTGATATTATTGATGTTACTATGTATGGCCCTGAGTATTTCGGCGCTAGTTTGCTGGTGAAAGCTGCACTAGCCGATGATAGATGGTGTTCCTTTTTCATGACTCGATCTCCTGGATGTGGTCGCCAGTCTCTTCGTCTTAGATCGTAATGTTTCTTTTGGTCCTCGAAAGCGTGTTCCATGTGCACTTTCGCCAGTTCTCTTAACGCTTCTAACTTGTTTAAGTTTTCTGCATACCCCTTTATATCTTGTACGTTTGTCGCCTCTGTTGTGTCTAATTCTCTTCCGAAATTAAGGAGCGCTGGTGAAAACCCTGTTGAATCGTGTCTTGACGAATTTACGGCGTAGCAGAATTCTGGTATGAATTTGTCCCAGTCTTTATGGTTATCTTCTACGTAAGTGGCTATCATCGTTTTCAGTACTTTGTTCATTCGTTCTACTGGATTGCATTGAGGTGAGTACGGCGGTGTTAGAATGTGATTTATGTTATAGGACTTTAGGAACGCCTTAAAATTGCTGCTTGTGAACTGCGCGCCGTTGTCCGAAATGATTTTCGTCGGGATACCGAACTGCATAATTACCTTCGATCGTAAAGTGTCGATGATGGAGTTCGTAGATGCTGCTCTTATTGGCTGGGCGACGACCCATTTGGTAAACCGGTCTTGCGCGACTATTAAGAAAATGTTTCCTTTTGCAGATCTTGGGAATGGTCCCATTAAATCAACTGAGACAGTATGCCAAGGCTTTTCTACAGTGGACGGTTGCATTTTCCCGGCTGGTTGCATTTGAGACGGTTTATATTGGAGGCACTTCGTACAAGCTCTAACGTAGTCTGCGATTTGTTTAAACATCTTAGGCCAGTAGTACTTTTGCGCTATTCGGCAAATTGTTTTTGCAATTCCTAAATGGCCTGCTGTGGTCGAGTCATGATTTTCCTCCAAAATATCTTTCCTTTTATATCTTGGTACGCATAACTTCCATGGGTTATTAAACTCTGGGTCGGCTAAATTACGGCTGCTCCAAATGTGTTTATATAACTTCCCGTTTGTTATTTGTAGATCCGGGAAATCGTCTGGGTTCTGGAGTACATTTCTATATAAATTATCGTACCAACTGCATGATTCCAGTTCTGATGCTAATAATTCCAACTCTGGTTCTTCGCTCTGGTTTTCCTGTGGTTGTCGTGACAAAGCATCTGCTACCTTGTTGAGGACTCCCTTTCTATATATTACCTCAAAATCGTACTGTTGCAGTTCTAAACTCCACCTGGCTAATCGACCTGACGGGTTTTTAAGGTTTTTCAGCCATTTGAGGGACTGGTGGTCTGATATGACCTTAAAATTGTATCCTTCTATATATGGCCTCATTTGCTTTATCCCGTACACGATGGATAGACATTCTTTTTCCGTTGTGGAATATTTTGTCTCGGCTGGTGTGAGGGTTCGACTAGCATATGCGATTACTTTATCCTGGCCGTCGTACTTCTGTGTTAGTGCGACTCCAAGTCCGCAGTTCGACGCATCTGTTTGCAGGTAAAATGTTTTTGAAAAATCGGGGCATGCTAATACTGGGGCCGATGTAAGTTTTGATTTTAGCTCTTCAAACGCGTTTTCTTGCTTATCGGTCCATTTCCATCTTATCTTCTTCTTCAGAAGCATGTTTAGCGGTCCTGCTATTGTCGAATAGTTCTCTATAAATCGGCGGTACCATGATGTTATTCCTAGGAACCGGCGGAGTTGACGCACATTTCTCGGTGCTGTGAGTCCGGTTATAGCGTTGGTTTTCTCCGGGTCAGTTTTTATTCCTTCTGCTCCAACCACATGTCCTAAGTATCTGAGTTCTGACTGGCAAAACGTGCATTTCTCAAAGTTTAGTTGTAACCTGGCTTCTTTCAGTCTTCGGAAGACTTCCTGTAGGTGATCTAAATGCTCTTGGAGCGTTTTAGATATTACTACGATATCATCCAAGTAGGCAAACGCGAATTCCATATCAGGAGGTATTACCTTATCCAGTAGGCGTTGGAAAGTGGCTCCTGCGGAATGCAGTCCAAATGGGGTGGTTTTGAACTGAAAATGGCCTTTTCCGGGTACGCTGAATGCTGTCACTGGGCGGCTAGTTTCTTCTAGGGGTATTTGAAAATATCCCTGTTTCAAATCGAGGGTTGATATAAAATTTGCTTCCTTAAGTCTATCCAGAATTTCCGATATTCTGGGTAACGGATATGCGTCCTTATCTGATAGTTCGTTGACTTTTCTAAAGTCAATGCAAAACCTGTACGAGTTATCTTTTTTCCTAACTAGTACAATCGGTGAACTCCAACCACTTGTGGAGGGTTCGATGGTTCCTTCTTTTAACATCTTGTCTACTTCTTGGTTGATGATCTGCAGCATTGCGGGATTGTGTCGTCTATAAGGCTGTTTGACTGGATCGCATTTTGTCTTCAATTTTATTTCGTGTTCTATTAAGTTAGTGGGTCCTGTTATGTTCTCAAACTCCCTTAGTTCTTTTCTTAGAAACCTTTCTAGCTCTGTATTTTTGGTGGAGTCTTTTAAAGTATTACATGCCTCTTCTTGATGTTGTACGTATTGTTTGGTCGTATGTTTATCGAATTTAAGTTCGATAGAATGGTTCCTAAGGAATTCCACTCCTAGTAAGGCATCTTCCGTCAACCCTGGCATTACTATGAATGTTTGTCGGGTTTGTAACCTATCGATCTCGCATTCAATCGTCAACTTCTGGTTAAGCTCCATTGACGCTCCATTTGCTAGTCTTGTTCTCCCGCTGTAGCTATCTAGAGAGTCTTTGTATGTCTTAGCTATTCTATCCCCGACGTAATTTTTAGTGGTTCCTGTGTCGATGAGCGCTCTGTATGTTCTTTGCCCTATTTTCAGCGATGCGAACAGCCGAATGTCATTGCTTGCTGGCTGTGTAACGGCGAAAACGAATGGAGTCGAATCTTGCTTTACAGACTGGGACGACTCCTTGTTTCTCCAGTCTGTAATTCGTTTCCCTGACGCCTAAAACAGCAGTCGTTGCTGTAAACCCCTTCTCTGCCGCAACGCGAACAAAACTTTTTCCACGGGTTTTTGCAGTTTTTACGGATGTGACCTGGCATCTTGCATCTAAAGCATGTCGTTTTGGCATCGTACTCTGCTTGGTCCGTGCGTCTCCAGTTTCCACGGCAACTCTGATTTGATCGGGTCTTTTCGTCTTCTAGAGCTTCGTATTCTTGGGCTAAATCTTGTAATTCGGCTAAGTTTTCAAAATCTCGGCGGCGAGCATAAAGCTTATATTCTGGTAACAGATTTTTGTATATCCTTTCGAGTTCTTGGTTTCTGGAAAACGATCCTTCTCGTCTGATTAGTGTTTGAATCTCCGTGATATATCTATCCACCGGCTCATTTTGTCTCTGTTTTCTGTTTCGGATTTGCTCCTCTAGTTGCAGCAAATATCCTCTGGGATAGAAAGCTTTTTTAAAATCTTCGCTGAAATCTGCCCATGACTTCCAATTTTTGTTATTGTTTCTGTACCATAACAAAGCGTGGTCTCCTAATAACTCTGGTAATGCTCTTAATAGATCTTGTTTATCGATCTCGTAGGCCAAGCTTAATTCGTCTATCCTCTCTAAGAATTCTATTGCATCCGAATGTTTCTTGTCGAAGTGTGTGTTCCACCTTCGTACTTGATTTAGCAATTCTGATTGCCCCATTTGTTTCGTTATTGTTAATTCTTGTAATTGTCTTCGGATACCCGAAATTTCCTGGGCCAGTGTGTCGGATTCTGTTCCCTTGGAAGTTTTTTCTTTTTGCATTGCTCCTGTCGCTTCCTCGCGATTTTTAAAATATGTCCTGAGTCGTACTCTCAATTCGTCGACGGTTCCCTTGGAATCTAAGCCGAATTTTTCGGCCTCGCTCTGCAATTCCTCTTTGCAAAGTCGGTTTATCCAGGACGTACCTGTTACTGAGTCTGTGTCTTTATCTGTCGGCATGTTACTAATTTTTAGTAACTTTTCAATCCTCAATTTTTCTCGGGCGCCAATTTGTAACGGGTAGCTCTTTCAGGACGACAGACTCAGTAAAACACAGGTTAAAATAAAAATATATCTATTGGTCTAATGTATGTACAATATAAATAAAAATAAAATAAATTCTATGCCGTATAAAAATAAACATAAAAATTAACTCTGCGCTCCGTCTGGGTTCCGCGATGAAGGAATCACCGGCGAACGTCTACAAAAGAAAGAAAAGAATAATTATTAATAACAAAACTAATAAAATAGAAGAAGTCAATCGCACTCAGACTTATACTCGCTTCCGCTTCAATTCAGCGGGAGCTCCGAACACACTCGTCAACAATCGCTTATGCAGGTCCGCGATAAAGTTCAAAACACGATATCGATAGACTCTGCTTGATTATGGATGGAGCGTGAACCTCAAAGCGGAACTACCTCCGTCCGGGTGGGCTCGCCAGTTCAGAACACTGGCGAAGAGAGGAGCCTAAGGCGCTAAGCCAAAGACTGATGAATTCCATTACTTACTTGTCTTAAATAGCCGCTCCGAACCCCACTGACCATCTTGCTGTAGTGGTGGCTGCGCCAACCTTGACACTCCCACGGTTCTAACTGTTGAACGGCGAGGACATCGTCACAAGTTCTTTGTTAACTTCCTGTCAAGAATAATACCAAGGTAATATTGCTGTTTTCATTGCCCTTTTTTGTGGCCAATTTATTTATATTGACCTTGCTTTTCTTGAACACATTGATTCTCAAGTATTAAGGTATTGTGCGGTTATTCAATATCCAATTGAGATTTATTTATCCTGCTAATGCCAGTCTTACTCTTCTAGTGATTTCCGAATTTCGGTTCTCTTTGTCAAACTTCAGAATTTGGCCAAGGTAGATATATTTCTATACTTGTTTTGTCTTATTTCAATTTACAATTAAATGTCCGGGAACGTCGGTATTGGTCATTGTTTTTTTTTTGTCATAACCATTTTAAGGCTGATGTTTTCGGAGCTGTCTGCAAGTTCCTTTATGAAAATTTGTAATTCCTCGAATGTGCTAGCTATAATTACGATATCATCAGCGAATCTGAGGTATTTAAACTTAAAATTATTTAAAACATTTCTTCATAAAAGGTATAATAATAAAAATCCTGTCCGAGATGGTATGAATTCATTGAGTTTGTGATTTTCTCTTCTTATTGATTAAAGAAACCTACTGCTATATCTTAATTTTTCAGAAATTTTTGTAGCTGTGTTCTAATATCGCTACGTAGTTCAAAGACACGCAGAGGTTATCTAAATTAAATCTTCATACGCAGCGCGTGCACTCTTGACTATGTAACACAGGCATCATTAGCTCTCGCCGTCGTCTTGCCACCTCTCTATACGCAAGCATTCCAATTGACGCCTACCACTACCATTAGATAACGCACTGGATATGGAATACTGGCAAAGGTATAAACAGCGTAGAGATTTACAAAGAACTCAGTTTGGATCAGAGAACTGATCTGGCAAAAATTCCAAACCGGTCCTTTGAATAGTGATCAAAGGCCAATCGCTCCGGGAGTTCAAGTTGGAATACCGATCTGATTAAAGCTCCTAACCCGTGTCTTGAAGTATTAATCTAAGGCCAAATTATAGCGCCGTCGATTTTTTAATAGGATTGGTATTTTATTTTATTGTACATATTATACAGAAGTTAATTTTATTTTGTCACATATTTTCAATATCTTTATTTAAACTAACTTACTTTTATCTAAACTAACTAACAAAGAGAGATTTTAAGAAGCAATAGGCAGAAATTTATTTTTTAAAGTACATAATCTGCATCCATCTATAACATGATTTACAAAAATTTTTAGAGAAAGAAACATGTAATTATATTATATACAGTGTATATCACGTAAATGAAATAAAAAAGATACAAAATTAAGTTTAGAGGCCTTTAAATGAATAAAAAAATATTATCAATATTTCACCCACACTTTGTTTTTTAGTTAAATATAATTAATATAAATTTAACTATCCATATTTATGTAACTACTAACATACCTGGCACTATAAGATCTGGACTAACACTCCTCCCAATTCACCTTTGTAAGAAAATTGGTACAAATAATAAGGAACTGTATCGGCAGCAAGTTCCACTTGTTTTCCAGTTGGTGTAGAAAAGTCATTGTCACTGGCCCACTAATAAAAAAAAAACGAAAATAAGACAATATTATACTTTGAATTATTACATTTGTGTTTCGTTTTGATATTTTGTTTTTTATCGCAGCACCTTAAAAAAAAAATCTGAAATAAAACTCAGTGAAAAAATCTGTACAATTAGCCTTACTTGCTCTGGGTCTTAAAGACATTAGTCATGTTTACATAAAAACAACAAATAATAGAAGTTAACTTGTCCGCAATTAGCCGGCACTATACACAATACTTTTCTTTGAATAATAAGGCTTCTTTACATATTTCCTGTGTATGCAAGTTAAATAGTAAAGGCAAAAGTAAACAACCTTGTCTCACTTTTCATTTTTACCCAATATATCCAAAATAATCATTATCCAGCCTTCTGAGTCCAAAGTTGAACATAGGCCTACCTAATTTTTCTCCAGTTCTGTCGGTCTTGAACTTCCTGCTACCAATTCTCAGCGATTATTTTGACGTCGTCTGTCCATCGTGTAAGTGGTCTACCTCTGCTTATTCTATCTGCAGTTTTTTTCCATAATATATTTTTTTGGGTTTACCACCCGTCGTTTATTCTGTCGACATGGCCCGCCTAGTTCCACTTAGTCATGCTATGCGCTCTATGGCATCTGGGACATTTACTACCTGGTATTTACCAACCTGCTCATTTAAGTGTCTTCTTTACTTCTACAGTCTTCTTCTTATGACTATGACACTTCTTTATCTCTCTTCTTATACATGGGGCATATTATTAACTCTCTTTATACTTCCCGCATTTCCTCCCACTTCCAGATTTTTGTTAGAAGGCTATCATAACCGCATTAAAAGTGTTTCTCTCCCATGTTTGATTAGTTTTGCAGAAATACTATTGCTGCCTGCTTTTTTATTATTTTTCATGCTATCTCTAACTCTTCATTGTTTCCGCCTTGTCGCTGACTTCCCCTACCACTTTCAATTGCTACTCATCATTTCCATCCGGTTCTTCATTAGGCAACTTTCTAAAATGCTCTTGCCATCTATCTAGATTCCCCTTCTACTATATGGCCTTATTTAATTTTGTAGTAATTCTATTTTCTTGCGCCTTGGTCACTGCTCCTTTTCGTCTCCTGGTAGAAGACATATTTATTAACGAAATCTGTTTCAATCTCTTGGAGCTTTTTAGCCATATGCTTTTTTTTCTTTCTCCTACGCATTTTTTTCGCGTCCATTCTTCTCTCTCTTCTTCTTCTATTTTCGTCATTTGGTTTGTCTATATATTTCAGTCCTGTCCCGTTTCGTTTGTTCAGGTTTTCTTGCAATCGGCATCAAACCATTCTTTATCTCTCTCCTTGATCACTTGACCTAATCACTTTTCAGCCATTTTCTTAATAGCTTCTTCTATTATTCTTCATTTTATTTCGAAGTCACATTGATTTTCACTTTGAAGTAGTTTTGATATCACGTCTTCCTGAAAGTTGTCAGCAGTGCCTTTGTTCCTTGGTTTGGCGATGTCATACTTTTTATATTCGAACAAAGAACAAAGAATACTATAAATATTGTATGTTTCTGACTTTTGTCTGCCCCTCTATAACTTCGAACATCTGTTGGTAATTTTGCGTGCTTTCTTTGCTCTAGGACGTGGTTGATTTGATTGTATGCCTACCAACATATTTTCATTCCCGTTACTTTTATTATATTAGCTTTTATTTCTCGTAGTTTTTCCGTACATCTCTTCATTCCTCACCTTGGCATTTTAATAACCGAATAAAATTTTAATATCCCGTTTTTAAATTTAATTACATCTAAGGTCAATTTTACTATAGAATTCCTGTTTTACATTCTGGTCTTTATTATCTGGTCTTATATTGGCTCGAACTCCACTATCGCACTTTGTAACCAATCACAAATAAAACTCGTTCGTAACATTCGATCTTCTCCACCACTACTGAAAAAGGTGTAGTTGTCTCTCATTGTTATACTAATTTCTTTTTGTATCTTTACTTGCATTACCAGGATATACACTTCGTATTGTTTCATCCCTGATACTTTGTGTTTTAGAGCGCCTGCTTCATAAGTACTTCTCATGTTACAACAACCTATATATATTATACTTAGATGACATTTATTTTTTCTTATTTTTTTTATTTCCTGTATTGATAGTCAGTCCATGTCCTTGTTTATTGCCATAATTCTGTTATCCTTTGATCCGCCCCTGCTGATTAGCTCTAGTTTGCTGGTGGGTCTAATTCTCATTTTATTCAGTTCCATCTCTCTACTCTGCCATTTATTGTAACCATATAAAGCCCCCTATTTACAAGTGTTGCCTTATCTCCAGGCCTTATATGCTTTTTTATTTCCTTGCATTATTTTTTCAGTTATTGTCAAGTCATCATTTATGAAATCTTTTTATTCTTTAAAGTCTTATAATTTTCTTTTATTTCCATTAGCTTCTCCTTTCTTCTTTATTTTCTAGGTGTAGAAGACATTCTGTCTATCCTATCTTAAGAAATATTGTTCTGAACCTATATTTATATGAAGAAATAGAAAATTTGATAAATCACAAATATGTAAACACGCATGGGATAGTGAACATAGGGTTCAATGGAATAATTCAAATCTAGTCCTAAAAGAAACGGATGGTAAAAAAAGAAAAATCAAAGAAGCGGCTCTAATTATTCTAAATGAGAATTTTATGCTAACAGGAGAATTTTACTGTCATCATGTCATGTGTTTGTCTTTTTAAAGACGAATTACATGCTATAATTTTTCTCTGACGGATATTCTCAAGTTAAAGTTGATTTCATGTAATCGAATGAACTATCTTATAAGTAAAGTCGTCCCAGGAGCGCAACTCAACAATATTGGCAATAGCAAAAGTCGTCTACTTTAAAATGAACAATGTATGTCTGAATTGTCAATATAAATGAGTCAGATAAAATTAAATTATTAGAAGAATTTTTCACTATGTAACAAAAAACAAAATTTGTTTAATTTACTGTTTGTATTTTGAGAACGATGTCCGAAGTGAAAATTAAAACGTCAATAAACGTATTTTTATCTTTAATTGTGGCTTATTCCCAGTCAAATAGTAATTATCTTAATAGATGACTTATTCCCCACCTGAATATGTAAAGTTTCTTCATCATTTTTCCCATGGCCGATTTTAGCACGTCCGGCTCATTAGTGTCCATATCCAAATTTCCATATCACGTTATTCTTTTTCTTCTCTTTCTCTCTATACCCACTCAAGTCTGGTACCTATTTCTCGTACTTCCTATATCTCTTCACTTTTCTTTCTAATAGCTTCATTTTCTTTCTTTAGCTTTTAATTTTCTGCTCTTAATTCTTTTAACTCTTCTGAATAAACTCTTTGTTCTCTTTTAATATCATTTACGTCTAACACCAACTGTTTTATTATCTACATCGTCTCGTCTTTCGTTTCGACTCACCTTTTCTTTATTGAAATTCTACTTACCTTTCTACTTCTCTTAAAGACTTCCTTCCCACCCTCTTGACATTATTATTTTTGCTCCGCTCTTCCGCGGTGTTCAGACGCTTCACGAAGATGGCATAAAGAGTTTTTTCCGCTTCAGCCGCTCCGAGAAAAAACTTTTATATATCTCATCTCTTAATAAGCTTACTTATTGTGTATAATTATTGTGTGTAATCACCGTCTAACGCCGTTTTTCACAATTTATATTTCATGTATCGATGCTCGCGATAGTCCGAGATTTTACACGTAAAAAAAGGAAACAGAGCCCCGTACACCAGGCATGGAAAAAAAACTACCGGTTTTAACCGAAAACCTGTTTTTTACTTCGCAATAACCGGTTTTATCGGTTGTTTTTTCCCGGTTATAACCGGTTTTTTATTTTTAAAGTAAAAACCGGTTATTAGGTTTTTACGGTCATTAGGATTAGATAAGGTATTATTTTGGATCCCAATCATAATTATTATTCTTAAGTAATTATTTCAAACAAAACCATAATTCAAATTTTATTTTATTCTATAAATACAGAAGCAAACTAAAGTGAATTGTAAATGTAACTTTGTAACCTATTGGATTAAAAAAACGGGAACCGGTTTGTTTGACCGGTTATAATCGCCAGGTTAAACCGCAAGCAAAAAAAAACGGTATAAACGAAAACCGGTGTTTTATCAAAAACCACCATCTATACCGTACATGACCTTTACGTTTGACTGTAGGCCATGAAATGACACCACATACATCCAAAGTTAATTAATAATTTTTTTAATAATACGGTATGAATTGTAGTACTTAAGACCAGTGATTTTAACATATCTTTATTTAACTAATATTTAAATAAATCTAAACGTACTTACTTTCCATATAAGTAATTTTCAGAAAACTTGTATATTTTTTGAAATTTCAAAATGGTCTTCGTAAACCTATATCTACTTTAAAAAGTTTTTAAATATAATAAATTTTATTAAAACAAACCTTCAGAAATGTTTGACTGGATATTGTCCATTTCTTAATTCCTTAATTGACGATATAGGTTTGACATACAGACTAATATTAAGAATAATACGAAGCAAGGCACAACAACCGTAGACAACAACTAAAGTAGAGATTTTCGTGAAAACCTGAGCTCAGTCTGCACTCAAGCAGCAATTATAAAATTATGTTTAAGTAGAAAATTTTAAGTAATGTAGGAACATACGCTTTATAGTAAAATCAATATTTACCGCTGACATTATTCAACTAAGGAATGAGTACCACTTAATTTTCGTCACAATATTCATTCGTTAGTTACTTCTAAATTGTAAGAATTTGTATAAAGTTGATAAAAATAATACTACTCAGTGTTCAAAACTAAAATAAAGTTGCATCTAAGTACAATAAGAGGGTGTTATAAAAAGTATACGTACTACTTGTTATAAAAAGGTAAGAACTTTTAATTGGAGCAGGCAAAGAATAAGCTTACCCTTATATATGCTCCAAAATCCTCAGAAAACCGTTTAGTTGTGTACACTTTCTTTAGCAGGGTACCAGCTATCGTTCTGTTTTTTGGCGACATATTTATATTAGGTGACACCAGTAAACTAGGATCGTTGTCCAATTCTTCTAGCAACGTATCGTTTCGTGTTAAAGCTAAAAATATTTATTAGTTAAGTGTTAAAGAGTTAAGAAATTAAATTATTGAACAACAAAAGGGTTTTTACCATACAATACTAAAAAATAATAGTAGAGTATACGGTACTTAAAAAAAAGATATTGAAATATATTAATACTAAAGAAACTTATGCAAATTATAGCAAATTATGCAAAATTACAAAGATCGCGCTAGAGAGGTCATCTTGTAAGACTGGATAATAACAGAACACATAGTAAAAAGCTTAGTATAGCTATGGTAAGACGTCGGTCAATATAGAAATGGATAGACAAAATGAGAACCTATGCTAAAGAGATAGTGAGGGTAGATAACTGGAGGAGAACAGCCAAGGAAAGAGATGGAGGCGAATGCTGTGGGAGGCCACGGCCTGACCCCCCAACCTGAGGTGTAGCGCCACAGAAGAGAGAGTAGTCTCATCATCATCAGTGGCATTACAGCTCCTTAAAAGCCACAGTCCTTCTTCAGAACAATCTTTCATTCGCCCCTGTCTCTGGCAACTCTTTTCCATGCTTTAACTCCGATGAATTTTAGATCATCGTCTATGTTATCTTAATACCTAAGTTTTGGTCTTCGCTATAATATATAAAAGTTCTCTATAACTCAAAGTTGTAGCGCCTATGCCACAAACCCTGCTATTGGACTTCTCCATATATTTTATTTTAGGATTTTTTCTCTCGAAACGTTTAAGCAATTCTTGGTCGTTCTGTGTAAGTGACCACGTTTCTGGCCCGTATGTTTACACTAGCCTTATTAGTGTTTTTTATATGGTAACTTTAATTTTCTGGGTAGTTTTGGAGCAATCTGTTTCATTAAGCCATAATAGAACTTATTGGCAAGCACTATTCTTCTTTTAATTTCTTTGCTGACATTGTTGTCTATGGTCAGCAGCGAGCCCAGGTAGACGAAGATGTCCATACCTTCCAGCTCCAGATTATCAATTAATAGTCTAGGTATCTGGTTGCCTGATCTAGTACAATACATACAGTGAGTTTGTGCGTTTATTTTTAATCCCATTCTCAGTGCAGACGCCCTTAATGATCGAATTGCTTCGATCAGAGATTCTGTGGACCCAGCAATAATGTATATGTCATCTGCATATCCGACCACTTGTACAGATTTATTAAAAATGGTGCCATTCTTATTAATATGGCACTCTTGAATTACTTTTTCTAGTTCAAGGTTAAATAAGAGACACGACAGTCCATCTCCCTGTCTCAGTCCATTTTTATAATTGAAAAGTCGTTTTGGATTCTGACTACACTCTTTACGCCTGTGAGTGTAAGTTCCGTTAGTTCAACAAGATGAAGCGGCATTTGAAATTCCACCATAGCCTGTAGAAGCTTTTGTCTGTTGACTGAGTCGTATGCGGCTTTGAAATCCACGAATGTATGGTGGGTGTCGACTCCGAACTCAAGCGTTTCCTCAAGAATCTGCCTGACTGTGAAGATTTGATTCGTTGTTGATTTATTGGGTCGGAAACCGCACGGATCCCAACTATTTGTTCAGCATAGGGGATCAATCTTCTGTACAATACGTTGAACAATACTTTATATGCCACGTTAAGTAGGGTGATGCCTCTATAATTATCACACACCATCATATCTTCCTTTTTGTTTGAGGGTGCATCACACCTAATTTCCAGTCTGAGGGCGTTTCCTTCTGTTGCCAGATTTCGGTTATTAATTTATGCATGTGTTTAAAAAGGGTGTCACCACCATTTTTAATGAGTTCGGCAGGAAGATTGTCCAAACCAGGGGCTTTGTTATTTTCAGTTTTGAAATGGCTTCTCTAATTTCTTCGTTCGGTGGGGGGGGGGCGTCTTGAGCGTTTTCATCCATTTCAGGCAAAGTACTTTCTATTTGGTCTTCTTCACGACTGTCGCTAAGTAGTTCTTCAAAATGATTCGCCCACCTATTTAGTATCTGTTCTTTGTCACTAATTATGGAACCATCTCTGTCTTTACATGCTGTTATTCTGGGTTTGAATTCTTTTCTGCAGCTGTTTATCTTCTGGTAGAATTTTCGAGAGTCTTTTCTATTGTTGTGGTTAACAATCTCGTTTAAAGCGTTTTCGTATGGCTCTTTTTTTTCCTTCTAAACGTTGTTTTTTCTTCTCGTCTAAGATTTTCATAGTCTTTCAAGTTTGATCTCGTTCTGCGCTGCTGAAGTCTCTTATATGCTTCATTTTTCTGTTGGTTAATGGATCTACATTCTTCATCAAACCAATCTTCGTTTATTTTATCATTTTGCCTGGTTAGGTTTTAAAAAGCCTTTAGCCGCTGTATGGATAGCTTGCATTTGGTCCAGTGTTCTTCTATACTTAAATTTTCGTCGATTCTTGTCAGCTCTTCATTTAAAATTTTCCTGTAGTTATCCCTAGCGTCTTCAGATTTTAGCACATCAGTATTATATTTCGTAGATTTTGTGCTCTAGCCCTTCTTAGCGTTTGATATACGAGCCCTGAGTTTTATTCTTACAAGGTAGTGGTCAGAGTCTATATTAGCACCTCTACATGCTCTTACATCTAGTACATCCGAGAAATGTCGACTATCAATTAGTACATGGTCAATTTGGTTTTTTGTTTGACCGTCTGGTGATTGTCATGTGGCTTTGTGGATATTTCTGTAAGGAAAACATGTACTTATTACCACCATTCCTAATAATGCTGCTAGTTTAATCAGTCGTAAACCATTTTGGTTGTTGACAGCATGAAGACTATGCTCGCCGATCGTGGGTCGGTAAATAATCTTTTGGTCGACTTTAGCGTTAAAATCAATAATAATAATTTTTACGTCGTTGTTCTGACATTGTCTGTGAATGCTTTCCAGTTTCTCGTAAAATATGTCCTTCTCCACATCTTTATCTTCAGTGAGAGTATGGATATTGATAATGCTGTAATTAAAGAACCTGTCTTTAATTCGGATTTTACATATACTTGGACTTATGGGATCGAAAGCTATGACTTTTGATTTCAATCATTCATTTAGTATGAATCCAACGCCAAAAATATGATTATTTTTATCTCCGCTGTAGTAAAGAGTGTAGTCTTTTTTCTAGGCTAGCACTATCTGTCCACCTGATTTTTTGAAGTGCTATAATATCTGCTGAATATGCATTAAGTGTATTGGACATACTTCTTAGTTTACCTGCACTATACAGCGTACGCACATTACAAGTCATCATCATCTTTGGCTCTACAACCCTAGGTGGATCTTGGCCTGTTCAAGAATTAGTCTTCATTCCCCCCTATCTTTCGCCTGGCTTTCCAATTTCTGATCCCTAGATTCCTCAAGTCATCTTCGACTTGAGTTTTAAATCTAGATCTTGGCCTGCGTCTCTTCCTGGTTCCTACTGGCTCTTGATAGAATATCTGTCTTTGGGGGTCTCCAGTGTCCATTCTTTCAAGGTGTCCTAGCCACCTTAGTCTATGAATTTTAATAGACCGGACGATGTTGCATTTTTTATTAGTACTTTCTTGTACTCCTCCGTATATGTGTCTAAGTATTCGTCTTTTAAAGCGGCCTAACAGTTCTTCGTCGCTTTTTACCATAGTCCATGTCTCTGACGCGTATGTCAGGACAGGATTTAATAAGAGTTTCATAATAATCATCTTGGTTTTTCTGCTAATTATGTGTGATGTTAAGAACTGCTTTAGTCCAAAGTAAGCTCTGTTCGCCAGTTATATTGTTCCCTTAATTTCTACGGTTACTAGGTTGCTGTTATGCAGATCTTGTGATGCCGCTATTTGTGTGCTTTTCGTGACCTTCATGTATTTTGTTTTGGATACATTAACCTGCAGTCCCATTGTCTTCGCGACTTTTTCTAATGTTTCAAAAGCCTGTATCAGGTCTCGTTTTGCCCTTGTTACTATGTCGATGTCATCTGAGTGTACCTCTGGTTGTTATGCCCGATTTCTCTATGGCTCTTTCTAGCGCGATGTTAAACAGTAGACACGATAGACTGTCTCCTGGCATAATCCAGTATGTGTTTGAAAAGACCTTGACACTCTGTTTTGTACCTTGACTTTGCACTCAACTTTCGAAAGAGTTGCCTTTACCAATGTTATTAGATGCGACGGAATATCTAGTTCTGCCATGGCATTACGAAGACCTCTTTTGTCTACATTGTCATAAGCACTTTTAAATCTATAAAGAGGTGATGGGTATCAATTCCATATTCATATGTCTTTTCTAAGGATTGTCTGAGAAGGAAAATCTGATCAATTGTTGACCTTTCTTTTCGGAATCCACATTGGTATTTGCCTATTTTTTCTTCAGTATATACTAGTAAACGATCATAAAGTATATAAGCAGTACTTTGTAAGCCGTATTTAGGAGGGTAATGCTCGATAGTTGTCACATATTAGTGGATCCACTTTCTTGTAAATATGTATTATAATACCTATATACCAACTGTCTGGGAGTTTTTCTTCTCTCCAAATGGATGCAACAAGTTTTATTATGTATTTTTTAGGACGTTTGCTCCATACTTGAACAGCTCAGGGGTATACCATCTTCTCCAGGGGATTTGTTGTTTTTTAACCTTTTTATTGCCTTGGCAACTTCGTCTTCTGTTGGTATATTATTTTTCTCCATCTCATCGTTTACGTCTCCACTGTGGTCATTTATATCAGCCACTTCTTGGTTGCCTATATTTAATTTCTCAGCAAAATTCTCCGCCTATCTCTCCACTATTTGATAATTTCGGCTTCTTTACTTTTTATTATGGTTATTCTAGGTTTAAATTCTTTTCTGTTGTGGTTCACATTTTTATAAAATTTTCGCCCTTCGCTTTATGAGTTGAGCCTTTATAGTTCTGTAGCTGGTTTTCTAAATGTCGTTTTTTCTTTTGTTTTAGTATCTTTTTCTCTGCTTGTCTAATCTGTTTGTACTCCTCTTGATTTTGTCTTGTCCTTCTGTTTTAGAGTTTCCCATACGCCTGACTCTTTTTTTGAGTTTTTTGACTTCTTTCAGGATATTTTCGTACTTATTCCAGTAACTATCTATGTTTTTAACAGTACTACTCATTTGGTCTTCTAGTTTTTCTTTAAGTTTGTATTCAAATTTTCTAACTATCTCAGGGTTTCGTAGTCTGTCCACCTCGAATTTATCTTCTTTGCTTTCTTTACCTTTTTTGCGTTAGAAATTCGTGCCCTTAGTTTAGCCTGGACCAGGTAGTGATCGGAGTCAATGTTTGCTCCACGTTGGATACGTACATTCATAACATCGCTGTAATGTCTTGCGTCCACAACTACATGGTCAATTTGATTGATTGTGTTACCGTCTGGGCTAACCCAAGTGCCTTTGTGTATATTTTTACGCTCGAAGCATGTGCTGGCTATCAACATATTCATTGATGCGTGTGTATAAAGCGTGTTCCATGTTGTTCGACTCGTTATGGAGGCTATATTTTATAATGATGGGTAGGTAATCGTTTTCTTTTCCTATTTTGGCGTTGAAATTTCCAAGTTCTAGTTTTATATCATTTCTAGGGCAGTTCCGTATTATTTCTTCCAGTTTTTCGTAAAATTCATCCTTTTCTTCGTCTAGCTTATCTTCTGTGGGTGCATGGGCACTAACTACTAAATATTTAAAAACATTTTCCCCTAATTTTCCTAAAAAAGCACGAGTGAGACTGAAAAAATCAACCAACACAGAAGAATTTGAAATTTTAGGAGGGGTGCGACAGGGGTGTATTTTGTCTCCTATGCTCTTTAAGCTCTATGTGAAGAACATTTACATATTTCCCGATAACTAACATTGGTTACGCCGACGACACCGCGATAATAACAGACAAGGAACATGATATGCAGTTGATGTTAAATAAAATAAACACCATAGGAAAAATATATGGCTTGAAAATAAATGCTGGAAAAACTAAATGCATGGCAATAAGAAAAAACGCACTTTTAATAATACAACTGCAAGTAGATAATGCTCCAATCGACCTAGTGAAAACATTTAAATACTTGGGAATGATGATGAATGACCAATGGAATCCTTAGCAAGAAATAAAATGCCGCACCAAACAAGCAAGACAAGCTTTTATCAAATTTAAACCACTACAATATAACCGCAATCTTTCCTTCAATTAATTTTATTCTATTAATAAGTTCGAGGCCTTCGAAATGTGGATGTTGCAAAGAATGTTCCGCATACTATGGACAGATAGGGTGAGAAACGAGGAAGTCTTAATAAAGGCAAATATTGAGAGAGAACTATCCAATTTGATCAAGGTATGAAAAATTGGATACCTCGGCCATATTCTAAGAAGAAAAAAATACGCAATCCCTCAACTAACCATCCAGGGAAATATTGAAGGCAAGAGGGGAGTAGGTTCCAAACAAATGTGGCTACAGAACATAAAGAACTGGACAGGCATAAATAACACTGGCGATCTTTTGCATGCCGCAAAAGACAGACGTCTGTCCTTAAGATAATTTGCCAACGCACTATAGGCGCACGGCACTATAAGAAAAAGAAGAAGGTTTAATAGGTATTCATGCACCAAAGTTGTTATTACGATAATAACGCTGGGAGAGCAACATCATCCAGCTACAAGAGCTCTGGTCCGAGAGATGGATGTTGCTCCGTGGGCATAATCATTCGGTAACACCAGTGGTACACACAAAATAGGCATATGAACAGTGTAGTAGTGTCTGGGGGCTCGGGAGACTGAGACCTCGGAAGCCCTGAGGAAGGCATCAGAGAGGATGCCGAAAGCTTGGCAAAATGGATTACATATTTCATAGGTGCCATAAAATAAAAGCTAGAAACTGTAACTGTGTAACTGGATGATTACGCCCATCGGGCAACATCCATCCCTCGAGCCAGAGGCCCTCTGGCTGGATTATGTTGCTTTTCGGGCGTAATTGTCTTAATAGTACTCTTGGTACTTGATAATAAAGCGGGTATGGCATGTCGGGCAATGATTTCTTCAATGAGAATTTAAACAAGCAAACATTTGTGCCCTAGATTTTGTTTCTCTCCCTTATACATGCTGCAGACCGAGTGCCCGACCTGTCATAAACGCTTCATTAACGATTAAAAACAATGTTTTAAAATAAAATAGGCTCGAAATACTTATCGTAAAATGATAGAACAAGGTTTAAACTTAAATGTAGGTCTTTGTAATACTAAATGTATCACTGAAAATCGTATTTTTGCTCAAAACTCATCAAACCCTTCAAAACATCACTTTTCTTTATCTAAAAGAAAATTCGTAAATACCTTGCGAATTTAAATAAATTTAAGTTAACATAATATAAAATTTTCTTTCTTTAATGAATTCGTAGAACATTTTATGGGACACGAATGTTTAAAGAGAGCACTGCAGATCTTAGAATGACTAAGAAAGTATTTTTTGCAAAAAATTCAAATATTTTTTTGTTAAGATAAACATAAAGCATCTAAACAAATAAATACGACATAATTACCAAATCTTATCCATTCTTCTGAATTTATTCCAATAATCACTGGTATATTTTTGAAATTTTTATCCATAAACGACTGAAGTGGAGGGAAAGAAAAATCACCAGTCTTCTCGGTCACCGTTCCATAAGAAACTCCTGCCTGTAATGAATTTATAAATTGGCAAACATTTGCAGTGAAAGCATATCTAGAGCTGCGATTAGGATTAATACATAAGACAAAAGATTTTTTGATAAAAAAGTAATCGAGGGTTTTAAAAGTTTTGAAATTTTATTATTATTATTATTTTCACCAACACTTTGGAGGTGTGGATTACTTGGCTACCATAATATTTTTCTAATCTTGGCAGTATTTTAGATACATTGATAAACAGTTAAATATAAACTTACCTTATAAATATTCTCAGTACTAGCTCGTTGTAGAGTATCCAACAAATCGTTTGAATCCTCAGAGGAGAAAGAAGAGTTAACAAGCTTCCCAAGTTTAAAAGCATTTTCTCTGGCATTTTTTTGATAAACACCACCTAACTGAGAACTGCTCTCCATTATGGCTCCATGAAAAAGTTCTGAAAGAATAAGGCACACTTAGTATGTTTCTTTACTATTTTACTTTAGATTTAAGATTTAATTCTAAGATTTTCTTTATTTGTAATTTATTAAAGATATCAAAAAATATTGTCCCAAAAAAAAACAAAATAATACATAGAATAATCCACAGAACAAAGCTGTTGATGAAAAAATGAAGAAAACTGTCAAACAGAACTACGCAATAATACGGTAATAAATAGGAAGGTACGAAAAGAGATTGGAATACACAAAAGATAACAGAATGCAGTAGAGATTAAAAATGGAATAAAACAAATAAAAGACCGAAGGTTATGTACTGAAAAATGCAAACAGGGACGAAAATCGTTAAAAAAAATCAAAAAATTCAGAAGGAAATATTGTCACAAACAGAAATAAGATCTTAAAGGAAATCGCATAATTCTAAACACAACTGTGTTCATTAGATGGCAGGTAATGTAAATTACGTATAAGAATAAGCAGTTATTAAACTAAGATTCGGAATGAATGATCATCTTCTAGTAACAAAAGTTTTGATCGACAAATGCATTTGAATATAACACAACTCTTATACTTCTCCTTGTAGACTTCGAAAAAACCTTTGACTCATGTTAATCGACAAAAATTATTAGATTCGTTAGCCAAATACAGAATAGACCACAGATACTTAGCTACAATCAGACACCTGTCTTCTTCTTTTTGTGCCACTCCTATCGGAGATTGGAAATCATCAAGGCTATTCTGACCTTGTTTACGGCTGACCTAAAGAGTTCATTAGTGGTGCAGCCAAACCACTCTCTCAAATTCCGCAACCATGAAATTCTTCTACGGCCTGGATTCCGTTTTCCTTCTATTTTTCCCTGCATTATATTTTGAAATATTGCGTATTTATGTCCTCTCATCAGGTGACCAAAATATTCGAGTTTTCTTCGCTTTAGCGTTAACAAAATCTCTGGGTCTTTTCCTATTCTTCGTATTACTTCACAGTTTGTTATTCTTTCAACCCAAGAACGCAACCTGTACAAGAACGCAACGTCAAACAACTTTGAAATTCCAAACAATCAAAACACAAACAAAATCAACATTGGCACCACGTGCCTATGTTGCTTTTAAAGATATTTTGCATCTAAAATAGAATTAGCTTAAATAGAATTGTGGATAAGCGGCAGAAAAGGACGATGTGTACTGACGTACAAAACATTATGGAGATAGACCTATTACATAAAAAGAATTGCTAGAAACTGTATGAAAACGATAAAAGATAGAGAATAGTAGCATAAACTTTATTTAGGTGTTCAAGTTCAGCTATGGACAATTAAAGATTTTAAGAAAGATAGATTCTTCTTAGAGTGCCGTCTCCCTACGAACGTTGGCAATCATAATAGCTATTTTTATTTTTGAAATTGCTGCCCTACAACTACATCTACACAAATCAATCAATCTGCAATGATAGCAATCATGTAGTTTCTTTAACCATGAGTTCTGCTTTCGGCCAACAGATCTTTCTCCTCGAATCTTTCTCTGTATTATGAGACTTAAAATTTCATATTTTGGTCCCCTGATCACGTGGCCTAGATATTCCAGTTTTCTGGTTTGTATAGTGGTGATTAGTTATATTTCTTTACCAACCCTCTCCAGTACCTCTTTATTTGTAATTCTATCAGTTTATGATATTTTTACTACTCTGCGTTATAACCAGAGTTCGAAAGCCTTTTCTTTTTAAATTGCAGTATTTTAAAGTCCAAGTCTTAGCTCCATATAATAATATTGAAAATATATAACAGCGAATGGTACGTAGTTTGTTTCTGCCTTATGATCATTGGTTTCATTATTTAAAGTTCCCAAGTTCTGATATTTTTCTACTTGTTCTATCACGTTACCATTGATTGTCAATAGGTGATGTATATTTTGTGGTCTTTGTGTAATTAGCATGTACTTCGTTTTTTTAGCGTTTATAGTAATTCCCATCAGCACTATTCATACTTAAGCTTTCGATAAGATGTTGTAGATCTTCTATACTCGTTGCTATGACCACACTGTCGTCTGCATATCGTAAGATGTTAATTAATTGTTCGTTAACGGTAACCCCCCTTTTTGGATATTATTGAGTGTGTTTTGGAAAATTTCTTCAAAATATAAGTTAAACAAAAGTGTCGATCAAACACATCCCTGTCTAACTCCTCTAGAGATATTTATTTCTTCTGGGTGTTGCCCATCAATTTGAACTATGGCACTTTGGTTCCAACATAATGTTTTCACTATATTTATGATTTTACTGTCAATGCGCTTGTTCATAAGTATTGATATTAGTTTTTCAAGTCTTACTTTATCGAAAAGCTTTTTCGTAGTCAACAAAGCATAAGTGTAAATAAACGTTTATATCCTGATATCGCTGAATCAATAGGTTGATGGCAAATAGTCGTTCTCGAGAGATAGATAGAGTACTACATTAATAGATGAAAAACATCAAAGACGCATCAGATATGCTAGATTCTTAAGGACACATGGAAAATTTGTCTATTAGTTTATTTATTAATATAGTATATTTTTCATATGTTGCGTAGTTTTTGTGTTAAAGTATTATATAATTGCTTAAAAAAATTGTATTGATTTTAAGGTATATTATGAAATAAAACGTTTAGTAGTATCATATATCAAAGAAGAGAAAATCGTGAAAAAATGGTAAAAAAGAGAGAAATACCTAATATAACAGGATAGTGTTATTGCACCTGAATGACATAGTTAAAAGGTCAGTACTTTTGTCTGAATAATTATCCAAACTTGCAAAATTCATATAAGAAAAATAGAAAATACAAACAATTTGGTACTTACCCACCCCATCACTCCATGGGCCCATTAGTAGCATTCCGACCCCCATGGAACCGCAACTTTCTCCAGCTATTATAACTTGATTTGGATTGCCCCCAAATTGACGAATATTTTTGTTTACCCATCTCAAAGCAAGTTGCACATCCTTCATGCCAAGATTACCAGGAATAACATCATCTTCTGTTGTAGCGAAACCTATTTATTGTTTGGATAATAAGCTAATTATTCACATAGCTGAGATAGATTTAATAATATTTTTTATATATATCTAAGAAGTATACATATGTTATTGATATTGTTATGTGACGGTAATTATCTCAAAATGTCTACCTGGTGTTCTTTCACTGCTTTACTCGCGTTATGTTTCTGAAATTTTGTGTTGAAAGCGCTGACTTAGAGTTCATGCCTCTGCTGTCGATTTCTAGAACGTATGTCCGTGTATAAAAACAGCTACGGAGTTCCTTTAATGATATTAATCAGACAAGTGTGTTTGTAAGCGATACCAACATTATTGTAGGCATAAACTATTAGTGAGTTTTAATGGTAATGAGATATTAGTTATTAGTGAGTTAATAAAGTTAGTTAATCTACATGTACTTCACTTAATCGCCAAACCCTCAAACAAACTAAACAATTTGGTGTCTGTAGTGGGATAAGGATACTGTTTAACTAAAGACGGCCAAACCAAATGACAACAAGATCACCTTAAAAAATGGCCAAGTACTTGGAATATGTGAGTCAGTTGTAAGAATGACCAGAATAGAAGAAAACCTCCTAACAACCATCAGTACATACCAACTCTTCACTGAATTGTTAAAAAATCTAAACAAGTCAAGTTCATCAAAAACAAAAGTGACATCTTCTTTAAAGGAAAAATAACTGGCCGCAGTCCAATATCGGATAAACACTGAGAACTTTAACCCCAAAAGGCAGGCAATAAGACGTAAAGAAGCTTTAGCCATTCTTGAAGGTATGCAAAAAAGAATGTCATTGAAGAGTCGATATCCGATGGTCTTATCCAGTGGTGTTTTTAACTAAGAAACATGATTTGGAAAGATTAGGTATCAGTTTTAAGGAATAATGGAGCTAATTCTTAGCAGACATGGAAAATGTCTCTGGTATACCTCGACGACATTATGCTCATCGGGAAGGATTTCGACGAGTACCTTGCCAATTTGAAAGAAGTTTTTACTAGACTTAGAAACGCTCACCTACAAACAAATGAAGTGTCAGCTTTTTCAAGAAAAAGTTAGTTTCCTTGGACATATAACTTCATACTTAAAAGTTGCAGCAGATTTGGCCAACATAAAAATAGTACAAGAGTGGCCCGAATCAAGAAATAAACACGATATCCGAAGCTTCCTTGGCATTCGTAAAAGATTTTGGAAATATTGCCAAACCTCTCCATAACCTGACTCAGAAGAATCTGTCAATTGACTGAGCACCAGACAGCCAGCTTGCCCTCACCATATTTAAAGACATAAATTGACAACTTCTCCCATCCTGGCATATCCAAAACCAGGTTTTTTCGTACTTGATATGGATGCTTTTTAAAATAAAATCAGAGCGGTGCTTTCTCAACTTTAGGAAGATGAAAGAGACGTCATAGAATACATCAGTAAAACTCTGGTAAAAGCGGAAAGAATCTACTGTGTCATCAGAGGGCTATTAGCGGTGGTTAAAGCAGTAGAACACTATAATTAATCCCTCTATGACAGAAGATTCTTTATAAGATCTGACCATTCCGCCTTGCAATGGCTGATCAATTATAAGACACCTGAAGGCCAGATAGCTTGATGTCTAAAGAAACTACAAATCCATGATTTTGAAATTTGCCACCGAACGAGAGAAGCCATGGAAATGCCAACGGCCGCTCGAGAAGACCATGCAAAGAAAGGAACTGCCAATTCTGCTAGCGCCAAGAGGAACGAGAGACCTAGATTCTACAGTTAAAAATCCTAAAAGATGGAAGTGACGAAAAAGCTATAGTCAAAGAAAACCTTCAGTCTGAATAAAAGGAAGATCCAGATCTAAAAATAGTTTGTGAGTGGCTGGACAACAAAGCTAAGCTACAATGGCGAGAGATTGTTAATATTGGCCAAGCAGTGAAGGACTATTGGCTTTAGTGGGACTCATTGTGCTGTGAGATGACATCATCACTCATCAATGGAAGAGTCCAGATGGAACAAGAACAGTGCCATAAGTTGTTCTCCCAAAGTCATCTGTTAAGGACGTACTTCCAGAACTACACCATAGTCGTTCTGCTCTTTTGGCATCAATAAAACTCTTGCCAGAGTAGGTGAAGGATATTATTTTATTAATTCTCAACACGATGTGAGGGAATGGTGGAAACGATGTGACCTGTGTCTATCCAAGAAGAAACACAAAACGAGACGTAGTAAAAACTCTAACAATATATTACCGAGACACCATAGGAACGAGTTGCTGTTAGTATTCTGGGACCCTTTCCAGTAACGTCAGAAAACAAGTGCTTAGTAGTTGCTACAGACTATTTTTTCAAATGACCAGAAGTCGGTGCACTACCCTACCGAGAACTAATTACGTTTGGTGGGGCCCTGTTTACAAATGTCGTTTATCGACATGAGGTTTCACTTCTGCCTTGTTCTGACCAGAAACACAACTTCGAATCAGAAGTTTGGAAAGACCATGCTCTGCTGAGAATTAAGAAGAACAGAATGACCTCAGTCCGACGGCATGGTATAAAGACATAATCAGACCATCAACAACTATTTTTTTCTTTATATATATGAAAATAAGATAGAGTGGGACAAACTGGTGCCTCTGTTTCTGCTAGCCTACCAAAGCTCTCAACATAAAGCAACTGGTTACACTCCAGCAATGGAGGTCTAAAAGCTTGACTAGTTTAGATCCACGATTTCGCCAGGAATAAGCACAACTCACCAGTCATCGGATGAAAGTTAGGTTTGATCAGAAATCCACTTCCGTTAGGTAAAAGGAAAGTGATGCTGTTTGTTTCTACCAACCAACCAGAAAAAGTTTTAAGTCTTAAGAAACAGTAGCCCTGAGAGGGACCGTCCCTGGTTAGTAGAACATTAACGACCTTGTATATAGGATGCAGCTAAAGCTACGAAGTACGCGGAAGGTCTTCTACCTAGAGAGATGACTGTGTCCTTATGAAATATAGAATTCACCGACCTGGTCCATTTAGGTACTATTCGGAGTGAATAGCCTGAGATAAGGGGGCCGATGTTATGTGACGGTAATTACGGTCCTGTGCTAATTTTGACAATTCTACTTTGTGCTCTCTTAATGCTTTACTCTCGATATTTTTTTGGAATTTCGTGTTGAAGGCGCTAAATCGGAGTTCATGTCTTCATCGGCGATCTTTAGAATATCTGTTCGTATATAAAAACAGCTGCGGCGTCTCTTTGAAGACAGTTATCAGACAAAGTTTGTTTTTGAGCGATACCCGTATTATTGTAGAATAAAATTATTAGCGTATTTATAATTGTTAATGAGATATTAGTTATTCGGTTACTATTAGTGAGTTTTTTGTAGCGAGTTAAATAAAATTAACTAGTCTACGTCTACTTCACTTAATCCTCGAAGTCCATAGAAAAACATAACAATATTATTATTAAATATATTATAATTGCTAATTATTAGACTTATCCAGTTTTTTTAATAGCTTAGACTAGGTGTAACAACATGACTAATATGTCAAACATTTAAGTATATTGATTTAAAATCTATAAAATGTCCTATTGTTTGAAGAACTTTTCGTTTCTGGTTCTGCTCGTTCTTGATATTTTGAGTATTCTTCGATACAACCAGATTATAAATACCTAAATTTTATTTAGGTTATCAACGTTTAAAATCCAAGTTTTACATCCAGACAAAAGCACAGATCATATTTAGCATGTTGCCACCTTTTCACAGATTTCCAAATTTAGTAAGTTAAAAGGGCCCAAATATTAGAAATTTGCTCCTTGCCTGTTTAATTCAAAAATTAATTTAGAAGGACTAATCTAAATTTTGGGTGATGCAACACCCAAGGTATTTAAATCGTTGTACTCTTTCCAGCGTTTGATGGTATACCGGTTGGGTTGGGCCGATATCCTTTTTATTGCCCATCGTATATTTAGTCTTGTGGATGTTTATCACCCGTCACTAATTTCTACACTCTATGTCAACTCTGTTGATTAGTTCCAGCTTGTGGTCGATGTTTTTAGCTAGAATCACAATATCGTACTCATTGTTAATTATTTCTTCTTCTATGGTAATAAATTATTGGTCTTTTAAAGCATCCCTTAATATATTCTTAGAATAGACGCTAAAGAGGATGGGAGGGGATATACAACCCTGTCTTACACTCCATTTAATAATGATTGGGTTTGATTTTATATTGTTTGTACCAATGACTGTTTGTAGTAATGACTGTTTAATTTCAGTAAAAATTGGCAATAAGTTAAAAGTCTTTAAAATATTTTTCAGGAGAATTCATTTGTCTACAATTATTATTTTGTAAATCTTCTGGCAAAATTTTTCAGCTATCTGAAAGAGATAAGAAATGCTTACTTGTCTTATTTGACAGCCACAGCTTGATTTTCCGAAATATGAAGATAATTTTTTATTATTTATGTACGGATTTTGCTTGTCTATTTTATACAGAGTACAAAATATTGGTACTCTGTATAAATATTGGTTTATATCTTTGGAGTAGTAAGTTAATGCTTTTTTTTTTGGTTTTGAGATAAAATATTTATATTTGTGACTTTACTGGAGATGTAGCTAAACTTTATCCAAGCTATTTCTCTGCTTTTTCTGAACATAACTCCATTTTCATAAATTTATCTTTCATCTGTTTGTCTTTTGCGATCTTTATCTTAAAGTTGTTGTAAGTTCAATATTTAAATATGATATTGAATTGTTTTAATTTAATTATAATTTAGCATTAGCTATCTTGATGGTGAATTTATCGAAATTACTCAGCTGAGATTTAATAAATTCGTATAAACTTGAAAAGTACAGTTTTACTTTCACCTTCTAATTTTCATAGGTGTATTCAATACTTTAATAATAATTTTAATTACGTTTTAATTATTACAAAAATACTTACCAAACGCGTTTAGTCGATAATTAGTTGATACGACAACTATCCCATGACCCATTAAATATTTTGGGCCGTAGTCATCATAAGTGCCTGAACCCCAGTTAAAACCTCCTCCGTGAATCCAAAATAAAACTGGTAAAGTATTATTACTACCTGGTTGCTTAAATAAAAAAAGTAATGAAAACCTTTTGTAACTTACACACTTGCTGCCAATGTTAATCAAAATGCTGCATATTCTAACGAAATTACAATCCTTATTATTTTCAGTTAACCTACTTCACCTCTTTTAGAATACAGTCATTTTTGTGCGTACTCTGGCGTGTAATTTTCGTAAGCTTCATACTGACATAATTATGACATAATATTAGCAGCTATATTATGTTCGACTAGCTATATATTTTTTATTGCTATTCCCGAACTGCATCTTACAGAGCTACAGACTTAAGAGGTTTCACATTTATAATAATGTAAAAAAATAAAGTTTTCTGTAAAAAAAATAAATACTTATTTTTTTACAGAAAACTACATATTACTGTGATTCATAAGCATCAATACAGTAGAGTCTCGGTTATCCGCCATAAACGGGCCGACGGAAGGGCGGATAAGCTGGAATGGCGGATAATAGGGAGGGTAGAAAATGAAACGCAAGTTTGGGGCTATTGTAATAACATTGCAATGGACTTTATTTAAGTGCAATAAAAGTGTAATTATGTACTGTATACTTTATGTATATAATAATATTAACAAGATTAAAATAAAACTAGAATCAGTTCAACATTGACTTACATTGGATATTGTAGACATAATGGTTTAGGGTGAACGAAAAAAACTAGTGATTTTCATCTGTCTTGCTGATGTATCTCGTTGTGTTGCTGCCAAGTCTCGCCATCTCTGTAGCATCATAATATCGACAGCTCTGGCTTCCTCTTGTTGCTCGACGTATTTTATCGCAGCTTCAAAAATTTTTACTCCTTCTTTGTGTGAAACTTTTTGTGGCTCAACAGTCTCTAATTCTTCGATGTCTTCAACACCTTCACTATTAACAACCGTAACAATTTCTTCATCGGTTATTTCATATTGTTTATCCCTTGAAAACCACTCTCCAACATCACCCAAAGACGCATCCTCACATCCAGGGATACGTTTCACTAAGGGCAATATATTTTCCTGAAGTTCATCCAAAGTGTTGTCAGCAGTTCCTTCATCCTCACACAACAGCTTATCCCAGGACTTAGTAATTGTTTGTGCCCCAACCTTATCCCATGCACTTGAGATCCAGTAGGACACATCTTTCAAGTTAATGGCTTTCAATATAGGGATTAAGTCTCGGCCATCGTTCATTTCTTCTATCATGGTCGATAGAAGGATTCTCCGATAGTTTCTTTTCAGCGTCTCCAAAACACCCTGGTCCATAGGTTGACAGATAGCTGTGACATTCGGAGGGAGGAACATGGCCTTTATGTCCCCATCTTTTAGTTCACTTTCATCGGGATGAGTCGGCGCATTATCTAACAGTAAAACTGCTTTTCTTGGTAAATTATTGTCTTTTAGAAACTTCTCTGTTGATGGTACAAAATCCGAGAAGAACCAATCTTTAAAAATGTCACTGCTCATCCACGCACTTTTCTGATTGCAATATTTCACTGGTAGAGCATGTCTTGAAATTCCCTTAAATGCTCTGGGGTTCTTTGCCTTTCCAATCATTGTGAGTTCCATCTTATGGTTTGACGTGGAATTGCTACATGCTAAAATGGTTACTCGCTCTTTGCTGCGTTTATAGCCAGGAGCTGCTGATTCACTTTTAGCTGCAAGACTCTTATTGGGTAACATTTTATAATTAAGGCCTGTTTCATCGCAATTAAATATTTGATCATTTGTTAAATTTTCCGCCTTAATAAATGCTTGAAACGATTTCTTAAATGTAGCCATTCCTTGAAAGTTTGATGATAATTTCTCACCACAAATAGACAGCTGACGAATCCCGTACCGCTTCTTCCAACGGTCTAGCCAGCCGACACTTGCTGTAAAATCTGCCTCACCCTCTTGAAATTGCTTTTGGAAGTGCAATGCCTTTTCTTTTAAGATAGGCCCGGATATAGGCACTCCCTTATCCCTAAAGTGGACAAACCAAATGTACAAAGCCTCGCTAGTTTTTTCGTAATCACTTTTTTTCATGGATTTTCTGTCTTTCAAGCCGATTTCAGTGGCTCGTGAAGAACACCATTTTTCCAATTCTGATCGGTTTTTCCTCCAATCTCCAACAGTACGACGACCAACACCATAGTCATCAGCCACTCTCTGCAGTGTTTCCCCTTTATCAAGCCTTTTTAATGCATTTAGTTTGGTCTTGCATTGATAAGACAATCTTTTTCCTTTTTTGTTTCTCCATAACCACGATCGATTGATAGCAAAGAATAAACTCTTACTCGTAGCGTACGGGCCTCAAAACGGTAAAGCGAACAAATAACCTTACTGTGCATGACTCACTGAAAGGAACAATAGTTGATTCGACGAAAGTGTACTAAATAGCAAATAAAGTAATAAAGTTATAAAAATAGAGTATTTATGACTGGTCTGGGGACGGGGAGGTAAATAATCTATTTTGTCTGGCAGCCTGACACCAAATTCCTACCTGTACAGTCATTGGCGTGTAGCAGATTATTTTCAAATATATACAAAATTAATTTTTTTCGCATAAATGGTGCGGCGGATAAAACGGAACGGCGGATAACCGAAGGGCGGATAATCGAGACTCTACTTGTGTTTTGGCAGGCGCAGGTTCGTTGGCCAGACGTTCGTGCGACCGTCTGGCGAGAAAAGCACAGCTTTGTTTTGCTAAATCGGCTAAATCGACGGTTGTAACGCTAAATTTTTATTCTATAATAAACTTTAATAAACGATGCGGTGGACGTAAACATTAGCACGTATAGGCTTCTAACAGGTAGTGTTTTTTCTGCACTATCATTTTTAATATTTGACCAGATGAGTTCTATGGGGTTTAACCCACGGTGATACAGAAGAAGTTTTAATGCCAGTTTATTCTGGTATGGCATGTTTTTTTACAATTTAAAGAATCTGTACTTTAAGCACATGTTGATCAAATTTTATATTTTTCGAACGGAACCAATTGTGGATATTGCTTTTTTAGAGGCGCTTATTGGTATTTTCTCTATTTTACGAGAATGGTACGACCCGTTATCAACAACAATGATATATTTGTCTTCTAATATTGGTAATACATTGAAAATTTTCACCAATTTTCAAAATATTGATATGTCTGTGGATCTAATCAACTCTTCATATTACTTATTCGACGTAATCACCATACTTTTTCGACTTAAATCCCAGAGGGGACTTGGAACAAACCTATTCTCGCTGGTAATGTGACAAATAATCTTTTAAATAATAATAATTATTTTGCCTCTTCCTAAAAATTTAAAGTATTTGTAAGTTTTGAGATTTGAAATATGTAGAATGTAATAAATTACTTGATGTTAATCCATCCAAAAAATCTTGTATAGGAGATTTTACTGTAATATGAGACCTATCTGTCTTTGTATAATAAAAGGGCGTTTCTTCTTCTAAGTTGATATTGAAAATATTTTTTTTTTAATATTTTATAAAATGTGATTTTCGTTAAATTCGACAAGTCAGGATCATCGTTCACCTCATTTAAAACCGTATCGATGGTGAGTATTTTGCTTCTTATTAAAATTTTCTTATTCACCGTAAATACACTTCGATCACAAACTCCAACTTATCTTCGGTCTGTCTCCGGTTTCTATACAACATGTAGCTTCTCCTTATAAATTTTAAAGTGTTTGTTTGTCTTAGTGTATTGTATTTTGTATTGTTATGTCCAAATTTTACATTTATGACATTCTACTGTGTCGGATAGGCCACAACTGACAAAATGCCCCTGAAGATGATCTATTGATCGAAAGTACTTAAGCAAGATTAAATTAATCACCGTGTTCGATAGTTGCCTTGTATACCCTCAAAGTTTAATTATTCGAACATTCAACCTTATATTGAAATAATAAATAATTATTACTAGTTCAATATTAACAGCATAAACATTAATTGTCCTTTAACCATTAAAGTGACAAAAACATTACTGATAAACCTATTCAAAGTACACTTCAATACCAAAATAGTAAATCTGGTCCGAACCTGTATCAGTTTTCGACGACGTCGAGTAGCAATTTACCAGCAAAATGGAGATGAGTACATCGTTTAGTTTTTGAATACTCTCTATAAATCGTTACTTGTATACTTGTTTAAATTATTTATCAATTAATTCGGGGATTTAAATAATTCATACACTATGCAATAAAAACTAATAATCGAGATACGAGAAAAATTAATAAAGTGATTTAATAATATACTATTACTATCGGAACGAGTAAATAAGTTTTAAACATATTTAATAATTTTTTTTTTATTGGGTTACTGCCTCGACAACTATGATCATTGGCATGGTACAGTCAGGTACCTAGTGTAGTGTGTGTGTGTGTGTGTGTGTGTGTGTGTGTGTGTGTGTGTGTGTGTGTGAGTGTGTGTGTAGAGTAATTGTCTTGATACTTAACAAAGTCGACGTCATTGTCTTTGCTAAGAGACGCTAATTGTATTCGAACGTCTGCGGTCCCTCTGGTGAGTACCGATCGCACAAGGATAGAAATTATTTTCATTTATTAATTTTTAATAAACGAAAATTTCCACCCAGATGAGATTCGAACTCACGACCTTTAGATTTAAAGGTAGGCGCTCTTACCACTGAGCCACAGAGGGGGTGTCTTTAATAATTAAAATACAATTTTATCGTTGTTTACACGCCCTGCATCGCTTATTTAAATTTGGTATGGAGTTAAATTATACCTATAATCAGTAGAGTAAAATATGAACGGTAATTTTTCCTCGATTTCTTCTATGTTAAAAATATTAAATTTAAAAATTTTCATGTTGTTAAATATGATTGTTTGAAAGCTACCAAATGTTTTATTAGCTAATTATTGTTCATAATAAACAAAATCAACTTATACCATAGAGTTCTTTATGGAATCCAGCAATATTTTGAAATACCGAAATGCAGATATAGAATGGTTAAAAGAATCGAATCATTATAAAAGAGCTCCTTTTATATACACTATTACCAACCAA